TTTTTATACACCATACATTTATTTTATTTGTTAATACTAAGTTTTACTGCATTTGAACTATTCTTATTTGTTTTATCTATTCAGCACAGCAGTTTTTGTGCCAAAGAAGCATGCTAAAATGAGAGAAAGGAAAAAGAGTGACTAGAAAGGTGGTTGAAGGAGAACGATAAAGAGGAGGACATTGACTAGAGGACAGGTGGAAGGAAGAAGGAGAGAGAGAGAGAGTGAAGGAAGGAGGAAAAGAGGCAGAGCGTTGAGTAAAGTGCTGAGATTGTTAAAAGCTCACTCATTTGTCTGTCATGTCGTGTCGTCTGCTGGTGATAATCGACACTGAAAGGTACAGGACTTTGTTCTGCGCCATCACTCTTTTTCTCCCCCTCCCCGTCAGCCCTCCTCATCTTTCATGTCTCATCTGATATCTTCTTGACCTCTATTTTTCACGCTTCCTTTGGCTCCTTCGCTCTCCCTCTCTCTCTCTCTCTCTCTCTCTCTCTCTCTCTCGCTCTCGCTCTCTCTCTCTCTCTCGGTCGTCTGCATCATCATCTGCACGGACTATAATATTCTAGTGAAGACGGTTCTGATCACTCCACATATGCGTTTTTTTGCCTGTATGAACAGCATAAAGTACATAAAGTCCATAAAGTACAATAATCTGTTATAAAAATGAAGGATCTTTGAAGGTTCTCAGCTGGTTGTGTTTACTCAGATTTTACATTAGACATGAACTTCATTATAAAATTCAATTTTCTAAATGGATAAACATTGGCAGAGATGATTTATAGAGTTAAACTTAAAAAAAAAAAAAGGGTTCAAGCTCTTGGCAGACAAAATTTACAGCAACTTCTTTGTTGCAAGTGAACTTTTATTTAACATATTCTGTCATATATTCTTTTAGCGTTTGTACTTTTATGTCATGCAAACTGTCCATTTATGCCTTGTTTAGATGCATGTGCTCTAAAATATTGGTTTGATTGCAACACTGCCTTTGACGTCAACAACAAAACGTATGGGAAGTTTTTTGGCCTTCCTTTAATTTTACATTTATGTTACTATAGTAAGTATGCACAAGTAACACGGATTGTTATTAGTTTCATTTAACTTTTTTTTTTTATCTGTACCATCCACGAACCATCAGAACAATTTCTTTTTTGGACACTAAATATGGGTTTTCAGGTCAAAGAGGCTCCCAGCTAACAAAATATGTTCTAAGAATGTTTTTTAACGTTCCCAATAAGTTATAAAACGTTATTTCAGATTCAGCGTTCAAAACATCCACGTTTTTCTTGGTTATGTGAATTGAAAATGTCATTTTATCATTTTATAAACATGGAAATGTTACTTTTGAATGTTCTCTGAACTTTCTGAAACAAGTATCATTTAAAAAAAAAAAAAACGCGTTAGACGAATGTCCAAATAA